GCCCACTCATGAGTATTACTTACCTCCCCAAATGCCATCATTTCGCTTTTGGAGAGATTGACTTTCAATCCAGAAACTATTTCAAACAAAAAAGAGGATATTTTAAGTACCTGATTCGAAAAAGCATTGTAGAAGAACAGAGTATCATCTGCTACTCATCAAAAAAAAGTGTCATCTGCATATTGCAAGATTGGAATTTTAGTGTCATTGCTGCTGACTTCAAAACCTTCCAGAAAACCCAGATCACAAGCTCTTTCTATCAGCTTGCTTAGCCCCTCCAAAACTAAGAGAAAAAGGCAAAGGTGACAAAGGCCACCTTGCCATAAACCTCTAGGACTCTTGAAGTTGCCTCTAGCACGCCCATTTATTAGGATCAAGAATCTTGGTGTAGCGATACAAACCTTTGTCCAGTTTCTCCGTTTAGACCCAAAATGCATCCTTGCAAACATATAATCTAGGAAAGCCCAATTGACATGATCATAGGCTTTCTCTAGGTCTATTTTGCGCACCAGACCACTTCTTCCACTTTTCCTCCTTGGATCAATGAGCTAATTGGCTATTAGAACTCCATCCTGATTCTGAATGTGTTTATTGTGGACAAAAGCTCCTTGATAAACCAAAACAGGAGAGTCCATAACATTCCCTAATCTTGTGGCCAGGATTTTAGCCATAATTTTCTTACATGGAATATTCCTCTCTATTGTAGATCATTAAGCTTTGGTTCCTAAGAGGAACTTAAAGTTCCTAGTATCCCGCTACTGGGATTCTTATTACTTCCTAAAGTGTACCAATTCGAAATTGTCTAGGTGGACTCACATCATGCCTTATCTTCACCTCCATCCCCCTTTCAACTAATGTTATGTATTTTTGTTATTCTTAATATAAAAGATTTTTATTAAAAATAAAGAAAAAATGAGATCCCCCTTCCTCTTCATCCTCCTCCTAACCCCCCTCCTCTTAAGGAGACTTACGCCTCCTTGTGTTGGGGAGGCTTATGCCTCTTGCGTTCTAAACTACACCTCACGCCTCTAGGTAGTGGAACATCTCGCGTCACGCCTCCGCATTTTAAAACATTGCCTGGAACCATTGAAACATATTGATCTGAGTCCGATTGGTTGTTGTCATAAGTTGGAGGATCTTTTTTCCTTCTTCTATAGGGAATTCTCATATCTTTTTGTTGTCTATTAGTGTTATTAGTCACACCCTCAACATCAGAAGCAGTAACAGGTTCAGTGGGAGTCCCACTAGATTCACCTGCGCAGTCAGGAGCAGTAACAGGTTCAATGGGAGTCCCACCGGATTCACCTGCGCAATCAGGAGAAGTAACAAGTTCAATAGGAGCCTCACTAGATTCACCCAAACAGCTAAAACTGTGAGGGTCATGAGAAGATGAAAGACCCGAAGCTGAAAGAGGCACAAAGGAGAGAGAAGAAGAATCATCTTCCATCCTACTAGTTTCCCCTTGAAGAGGATTCATGGAGAACAAAAAATAGGAGTGAGACTCAAAAAACACCAAATCCTTGATGACATTTTTTCTTGGTAACAGGATCATAGCACTTATAACCTTTTTGTGTGGGAGAATACCCTAGAAAAACCCCTTTTGTAGCCCTAAGATCCAACTTAGTCTTCTTAGGATCCTTGACATGAACAAAACACACGTAGCCAAAGACTCTAGAAGGAAGAGAGAAATCTGGAAGGTTATGACAAAGGACAGAGAAATGAGCTCTCATACCCAACACCCTAGATGGCATTCGATTTATCAGATACGATGTTGTAAGAACTGCTTGAGACCAATAGTGATTGGGAACAATGTGCTAAAATAGTAAGGCTCAAACTGTCTCCAATAAATGTCTATTTTTGCGCTAAGCAACCCCATTCTGTTGAGGGGTACTAGCACAAGATGACTGATGTAACATGCTTGCATCCTCCATGAACAGATTCAAGGAGCTTTCAAAATATTCAGCAACATTATCTAAACGGAATTGCTTAATTTTTTACCAAATTAAGTTTCAATCATTTTACAAAATGCCATGGTTATCTGTGGTACTTCATCACGCCCTTTTAACAAGCAGATCCATGTGTATCATGAATAGTGATCAATAAAACTAATGAAGTAACAAAAGCCATCTATAGAAATAAGAGGTGAAGGGTTCTATACATCAAAATGAACTAAATCAAAATGATCTTGAAATTCATTACTAGAAATTGGATAAAGAGTTCTACATTGTTTTGATAATTAACACACTTCACAAATAAAACTGACTCAAAACACACTTGAACAACTCAGGAAACAATCTTTGCATTGAAGAAAAAGGTAAATGACCTAGTCTAGCATGCCACAAATGTAACCTAGCTACTAACTCCTCATTATCTCGACCACTAAAAGCATATGATTGTAAAGCTGAACCGATGTCTGCATCAAAATGATAGAGACCTCCAGAGTCATGTGTGCCATGTGGTCAATAGCACCAGAATCAATAATTCAAGAATTAGACACTATAAGGCTAGTCACACTATGAGAAAAGACGATACCTGATTTAGCAAGAGAGGTGGAAGCAAAGGAATTGTTCCTTAAACGAACCATGGCTCAGCTAAGGATTTCTACCTCATCAACAATGAAATCAAAAAACCTTGATGTGTGGGAATTAGCGATCTGTCCCATTAGAGATGCAACTGTAGGTGTGTTCTTTGGGCTTTCACCATTATTACTTATGACAACATTTCCACAAGCATTTTGACTCTTCTGAGGATTCTTGTCTTTCCTTAATGCATCCGATTTCATGTGAGGATAAAGAATCCAGCAAATCTCTTTCAAATGCCTGTCACCTCCACAATGACAGCACTTGAGATGCCTCTTGTCTGAATGTTTGCCCCCCTTTTGGGTTGAGGAAATCAAGGTTGGATGCTCAACAAGCTATACTTGGATGTCAACTTGCACCTCTTTCCTTCTAACCTCTTCATTCCTTACAAGATAGTAGACATGATGTAAATTTAGTAGTTCATCCCTTCCCAAAATTTGGGATCTTATGCTCTCATACATCGGGTCTAGGCCAGCCAAGAACTTAAAAGCTCAGCCTTCTTCAATTTGTTTATCATGCCTCTCCTTATCTCTTGTATTTTCCCAATCAAGTACAACGTGGCGGTCTAGTTCTTCCCATAGTCCTTCTAAAGTTGCATAAGCTCCTGCTTTTGTCCATCTAGATAACCCATGTCGCCGGGAAGTAATGAAAAGCTTGGCTGAAACAGACCATTCTCTGAAATTGTATTCATCTAACACACTAGTGATCTACAAGTTACGCAGATTTGGGTTTTCCAGGTTCGAAGACCTCCCACCAGTCCTATTGTCCTTAAAGGTCACTTCTCCTGATATTGAAGACATATTTTTCCTCTTACAGTAACCACAACTGTAATCTCAACGAGAGGAACAAGATTTCAGACTTACTAGAGTTGTTACTAGGCTGAAAACACCCTCTGTAACTGGCCTAAAGCACTCTTTGTAACTAGTTCTGGGTTGAGAGCAGCTTATATGGTCAGAAAACACCACTTCTGGATGTCAAACTTGGGTTGTGACCACCCCCTGCGATCTATCCTAACTCCCAGACAACAACTAGGACTATCCACTCAGTCCTTCTTCCTAGATCTGCTCTACTCATGTTTGTCTAGTAACAGAATGGCTACTAACTGCTGCATAACCACTAGTAGGGCATAAACTGCTAAGAAAAACCTCTCCTAGGGCCCTACACCCAAGAGAACCCTAGACACAGACTTTTCTGTTGTCTACGTTCAGTCCTAGGGCTTCTTCATGGTAACAGAGATAAGAAAAAAGAAAAAATAGAAGATAGATGAGGGAGAGAATAAGGGAACAAAGCTTAAGTTGTTAGGTGAGGTCCTTAAATAGATTGATATTCTCTAACACACCCCCTCACACAAAAGCCCATTGGGCTTGAAGCGTGAACAAGCACAAGCCCACCCATACCTTGTGCTGAAACTTAATTAATTATAATGGGGGTAACGAGGATTGAACAGTAGACCACTTAGTCAAAGTGACTCCGATACCATGTTTGCTGAAGTACAGCAGTAGAAGAGGAAGAAGAAGAGAAGAAGCTTGAGAGTGGGTGGCAATGTGTTCTCAACTGGCCCTAGAAGCTATAATATATATTCACAATAAGATGTTACTGGAAATACTAGAATGCCCCTGATTAGTGATGGGACACCTAGGCATAATAAAATAAAATAAAACAGGTTTAGGGCCAATAACTAAAGGCCCATAACAGACTAAAGAACTTGAACATAAAAGATAAAATAAGCCCACCAACACTTAACCAACAAAATCATGTTCGTCAATCAAGGAGTTCTTTTTTTTTGGAAAGATCGCCAATCAAGGAGATGTGTTCTTCATTCATAGATATAAGATGAGGTACACAACTTTATTCAATGACTCTTTTATCTTTCCGGAATGTTCATTATAAGACTTATGATGATGCTGATATCATCTAATTTTGCATGGAATACTCTAAAGGCCATCCAAATTTCACCACAATCCTAATACATAAAGCATTATTCTAAGGAAGATAGAATAGATTTCCTCATCCAATTAAGAACAGACAGTGCTAGTAAGCAATATGTTTCTCTAAACAATTTACTGACCCAATTCCAATGTTTTAGAAGGGGCATATCTTATCATAGTTCCAGAAAGTTTTATGGGAGGGGTTGGGTTTTCAATTTTGTAACGTGGATAAAGTTGGGTAGTTTTTGTTCTTGTTGATGTTAGTGTGGTGATGTTAATGTGGAATACTCTTTTTCCTTTTAATGAATTTTTTATTTTACTTTTCAAAAAAAAAAAATTGTTCCAGTAAAATGTGCTTCGGACTCAGAAAATATTCCTTTACATAGATACCACCACCATCACTCCCCCTTAATCTATGGAAGTTTTTCAGTTCCAGCAGATGTCTCAAACATGAAAAAATCCATATAACAAATACTGGACGTAATAAACTAACCTGAAGAGCAAAGAACTTGGTGTTCAAGTTCTGTGACTTCTGTAGAATGTGAACTACTTGCAGCCACATATCTGGGTTCTTCTGTAAATCCCGCAATATCTGATCCGCAGCCGTTCTCTACATCACCAAAGAAGAGGGTGAGATAAAAAGCAGATGGTAAGGGAAATGGAAAAAAAAATCACATTGGAGGGAAAGCGGGAAAATGCCACCAAAGACGCCTCCATGCTAGGCACTAGTTAGGAACACTAGTAACACGTAACAAGGGGAACAGAATGAGAAATGGAATGATGTGGAAAGGTTAATACAACAACTGAAACTCACTCCAAATTGACCATGAGTTAAAAGGGGGAAATTTAATACCAATCAAATCCTGTATGACTAAACAGGGAAAAAATGCGTGAGCTTATGGTAACAGACTTTGGCATTATGCCATGACTTTAACTCACTCTAGTGTAGGCAATAGAACTATAACAAGAAAATAGTAGAAAATGTATGCCCATAACATCAACTAAAGAACCTATTTTCTTTTCTTCTTTATTCTTTCGTTCCAAACTAGAATCAAATCCACCAAAAATTCAAAAAAAAAGCCCAAAGTAATAGATGGTCCGGAAAAACTCCAGAAACTCGAAGAACGGGACGACACAATAAACATTCCAGATGTTTTCAGTGAGTAAAAATTAAATTTTTCCAGCTAACGGTAGAACCCAAGCGACAAAAATCACCCTAATACAAACATTTAAAACACACACACGCACACAATTCCTCGTTCCACTTCGTCATTACCACGAAACTAACATCACAAAAACGAATAGAAATAACGAACTCCATCAAACAGCGATCAAAACGCCGAGCCAAATTAGACTGCTTACCTCCTTCTCGGATCCCGTCCCATAGAACGCCGCAACTGTGGCGTCCAACAATGGTACATCGATCGGCTGGCTCAAATCCCTAAGTTTCTCCGCGGCCATGACTGAATACGAACCTCAAACTCCAACACAGTCCCGAACAAAACCGAATAGAGCTTAAAAACCCTAGAAACCCTCGTAAACCCTAAATCCTCGGCTTCAAGAGTCAAGGCCGAACCGAGCTTCAAAATGAAGCAGAGAGAAGAAACGACTTTGAAATGGGTTTTCCCCCCTTCTCTTTTATATGTTTTCAGCCAGTAAACTCTGCCTTGGTGTCTCCCAAAATCACAGTCCCTAGTTGAAATCCTGGGCTCCTCGAATGTATGAGATTAGGGGAAAAGTAAGCTACGCGGAAGTAAAATGCCACCGGTTTGTAGCGGAATTTCGGAATTGCCAGAGAATTTCTAGAAGAAACTTTTGGGGGGAAATGAATACGAAATATTATACTTTCTTTAATTCCTTTGGAGCCTTGGAGGAGAATCGCGGATTCGCAGGATGTTTTGTGTTGTGACGCTCGTCGTTTGATAGTGATGCCCTTGGTTGAAAAAAAAAAAATTCTGATTGAACGTTCGATACCCTCGTGGGGTTATGGGCTCCCCACAATGCACGGGAGATGGACTGTGGGGAGTCTGTGGGACGTGCTCCCCAGCCCATCCCCTCCGTGCATTGGTAATATCTCTCCATGACAAACACGATAAATGTTCCCAGTGCACGGATGGGATGGCTCTGGATCGTATTCTGTGGGCAGCCGATCCAATCATGAGTCAAGGCAATTCCTAATTTCTTATTTGCCTTTTAATCGAACCGAATGGTTGAACCATCCAGACCATCTATTATCGGCCCATGGCTATTCTCTCTTATCAAATGGTAGGCAATATTGAGGTCATAGGTGGTGGATGATAATGGCTGATGTAGATACCGAAAGAATCGCAATATGAAGAATATAGACTGAAAGAATAACGTCATATTACAGTTGGCAAAGAGAATGAATATTTTTCCTTAAAAGGTAACAAAAAAAATAGAGATAACAAAAACCAATATGACTTTGAGCAAAGTTAAATGGAAAAGATAGGGTATATGTTGCTTTTCCTTTTGGGCTTTTGGCAATGGAAAGAGGATGGTGGGAACTCCGAATTAGATTAGATTTCCTACTTCTCTTTATTGATTTTCCTACATTTGAAGAACTAGTAGGAACCCGTGTGATGCATAAGCTTTGTTAAGTTAAAGTTAGACAATATAACCGATGGATCGATTTTTTGTGTTAAGTACCTCATCATTTGGTCTGCTTCTAAATGGCTGATGACTCAGATGCCGAAGTGGAGAATTTTTGCAGCTGAGCTGATTCGAGTTGGGCAAACCAGGTGTTGAATTACCTGTGAGGTGTCAAGCTGTCTGTGAGATGCTGAGCTACCTAGGTGTCGAGCTACCTGTGAGGTGTTGGGTTAACTAGGTGGCGAGCTGACTATGAGGTGTCGAGCTGCTTGTGAGATGCCGAGCTACCTAGGTGTCGAGCTGCCTGTGAGGTGTTGGGTTGACCAGGTGGCAAGCTACCTGTGAGGCGCCAAGCTGACCAGGTGCAGGGCTGCCTGTGAGGCGCCGGGCTGACCAGGTACAGGGCTGCATGTGAGGTGATGAGCTAACTATGATGAGTTTCGTTGCTCTTTAGAGACTTACAAGGAACCAAATGTCAGAGGACCCGGGGTGGCTAACCCAAAGAGGTTGCTCTGATGCTTAAGTCAATACTCTCACAGTAGACTGCGAGCTAAAAATCACAAAGTTTGAGATCTAAAACTTACTTACTTGCCCCCCCTATCATTGGGGTTGGTGCCTTTATATAGGCCTTGCTCACGTACCGCTCCCGAGATCTTCGGAAGGTCGTGTCTAACTGGTCCGAAATCCTCGGAGGTAACTGCCATGAACATTGACCATCTTCCGGAAAGAGGGCCAACCTCCAAGGATCGTGGGGTATGCATGCCGAATTTGTTGGCGAGCACGTCTCGCAGGTCGCCAGGTTGGCGCCTGTGCTAGGCCGCCAAGTTGGACACCATCAACATGGAAAGTTGTTGCCTGAGTGGTTTTGCGTGTCACCTAGTTGTTCTGAGGTGCCATGTGTCACAATGTCATTGGAGGGCCAAATCCGCCTTCATCATTTGCCCCCCACTCCCGAGCTGAAAGTAACTCGACGAAGGGAGTATATTTCTCCTTTTGGCCCGCAATGAATAATTTGATGAGCTGTAAGCGTCAATTCAATTCCTTAGGCTTCTGGGAGCGACTTGCAGTCTGCTCCGTGATTTTGCCCATGCCGAAGAGGCGACTGGGTCTTATATGGTGAGGAGGTTTTCGTTAGTTCGGTATTTTGACCCTTAGGCTCTGGGAGCGACTCGTAGTCCACTCTCATTGATCTTGCCAATGCTGAAGAGGCGACTGGGTCTTATGTGGTATTTTAGCCCTTAGGCTCTAGGAGCGACTCGTAGTCCACCCTCCTTGATTTTTCCCATGCTGAAGAGGCGACTGGGTCTTATGTGGTATCAAGGTCTTCACCAGTTTGGTACTTTAGTGCTATGGCTGCACTACATCAGCCTCGTGACGCCGTTCACCCACTCCGACAAGAAGCTACTAGGAGCTCGACCAGCAAGGGCGTCCATGCAGTCTGTTGGCTGCCAACTCCCGCGGAAACAATGAAGAGCTCATCTTTGTAAAGGGGACCTCGTGAAGAGGACTAATGAGGTTTTATTCGAGTTGAAATAAAGTTGGTAGAACTTTTTAGTTTGTTAACTATCAACTTCCTGCATAGTCTTTGAGTTCGTAAAAAATGGAATGTATAAAGCGAGAGTTTTAGTTTATAAAAAGTAAGGACTTAGCTTTCTATAAGAAGAGGACTTAGCCTTTTAGATGATGAAAACTTAGTTTTTTGTAGCATTTCCCACAGACGGCGCCAATTGATGGACCAATTTTTGGTGATGGCCAATTTTTTGTGCTAAGTACCTCGTCATTTGGTTTGCTTCCAAGTGGTTGATGACTCAAAAGTCGAAGTGGAGAACTTTTGTTGCCGAGCTGCCTGTGAGGCACTGGACTAACCAGGTGCAGGGCAGCCTATGAAACGCCAGATTGACCAGGTGTTGCGTGCAGGGCAGCCTGTGAGGTGTCGAGCTGCCTGGTGACGAGCTGACTATGATGAGCTTCGTTGCTCTTTAGAGACTTGCAAGGAACCAAATGTCAGATGACCCAAGGTGGCTAACCCGGTGAGGTCACTTCGATGCTTAAACCAGTACTCTCATAGTAGACTGTGAGCTAAAAACCACAAAATCTGAGAGTTAAAACTTGCTTACTTGCCCCCCTGTCATTAGGGTTGGTGCCTTTATATAGACCTTGCTCACGTACCGCCCCCGAGACCTCCGGGAGGTTGTGTCTAACTGGTCCGAGATCCTCGGAGGTAACTGTCATGCACGTTGACCATATTCCGGAACGAGGGCCAACCTCCAAGGATCGTGGGGTATGCATGCTGAATTTGTCGGCGAGCACGTTTCGCAGGTCACCAGGTTGGCGCCTGGGCCAGACTACGCCCGGGCCATGCCGCTAGGTCGTGTTGGGCTAGGCCGCCAGGTTGGACACCATCAACTTGGCAAGTTGTTGCCTGAGTGGTTCCGGGTGTCACCTAGTTGTTTTGAGGTGCCATGTGTCACAATGTCATCGGAGGGCCAAATCCGCCCTCATCAAGAACTATATAAGAGTATGTGTATGTTTGGTTTTGTGGGAGTTTTTGATAGGCGCTTTTTAAGATAAATGTTTATCTAAATAACATTACTTAAAATGTTTTTTGCTTTTTTTTTGTTTGGTTTGACGTTTTATGGGTGTTTCAAGTAACACTCCATAAAATTGCTTTCCACCTCAAATAAAGTTTGTCAAAACAACATTTCATTTCAAGAAATGCCCATGCATCGGGGGAAATATGAATTTGACGTTTCCCCAAATGCACCATACACATACAATCAAAATGTTTCAATTTATTAGTGTTTATTTGATAAACAATGAAACCAACTAGTGGTTTCATATGCAATAAACACCAATTCATACGTAGCGCTAATGTGTTGGTGTATTTTCAATAAACATACACAAAACCAAACATATACTATATAGTTGTTTTATATTTTAACTTTTTAATAACCAATTTGATAGAACACCGGAGTTGGTCGGTGTTCTAATATTTCTGATTGGCATTGGGTTCAACAATTATCCAACTCGATCAAGTTAGGTCAATTTTGGTTTCGCCATTTGTAAACTAACCAAAACTGAACTGACCCGACCATATATATTAATATTAATATTTTATATTTTAAATATTATTTTTTTAATATATGAAAGTGGGAAAATTCCCATATTTCATAATCTAAAATATTTTATATCATAAATGTAATTATTTTATAATTTATTTTGTAATAATACCATTATAATTTATAAAATTTAAATTTAATTTTTTATCTTAAATCTTTTGAACAAACCAACCAAACCGAAAATAGAACCAATCCAATAGAATTCGAGTTGGCGGGTTTTCACAAATGGTTAGTTAGTTTTGTGTGACAAACTCCCAACTTGACCAAGTCGATTTGGTAGGCAAAACAACCTACAACTGAACTGAACCAATCATTGAACACTCATAATTTTATCTAAATTAATAGTTTAATCTCTAATAATTATTGAAAATTTATAGCAAAAGTACACAATTATTGAAAATAAATTTATAATAAAATTACAGCAATTATAAAAATACAATAAATACTAAGAATATATTAAATAAATCAATAAATAGTATAATCTCAAATAATAGTTTAATCTCCAATAAACATTAATCAATAAATTATATAAATAAATAACCACTAAAAATAAATTTTTAACAATAATACAATAAATACGATAAATTAAATTTCAAAAGTTAAATAATAGTTGTTTAATCTCTAATAATCATTGACAATTAGAGATAATTTAAGAGATAAATAGGAGTTAATGATAATTTAGGAGATAAATAGGAATTGGAGACACTTTAGGAGAATGTGGGGGAAAGTGGTGCCACTTGGCTAAAACCAAACAATGCATGATATTTGTTAAGCTAAAACCAAACAATAGAAACACATAATAGTATAAGATTGTGTTTGTATTTTTAACTTTTTAAATAATTAATAATTATTTTAGGTTCGACTATGACATGGGAACGATATGATATCTGAAAAAATTTTAACCAATGAGCTAGTATCATAAAGTGGTAGCCAATTAAGTGTTATTTATCAAAATTCATGAATGGATTTTGATTGGTCAAAATTCTTCCGATACCATATCTTTCCCACATCATAGATATTCCTTTATATTTTATATACTATTTTAAGAAATTTGTACAATACAAAATAACAATAATTAATTTCAATTAGGGTTGTTCATCAAATTGATGAATTTGACTAACCCGACCA